GAATTTAAATTTATAGTTAATTAATAAAATAACTAAGTAATAAACTTAACTATAAAAAACTTAAATTTTTTAAAATCTTATAAGTTATCTTATTAATTAACTATAAATTTAAATTCTTAGAAATTATAAAATACTACTTAGTATTTTATATTTTATTCCTTAAACTAATACTATAAGGATTATAAATAAATAACTTTATTATTATAAAAGATAATAAACTAGAATATAAAGTAGAGNTAAGGATTATAAATAAATAACCTTATTATTATAGAAGATAATAAACTAAAATATAAAATAGAGAAACTATTAAACTATTAATATAGAGATAATAAATAGAAATACCTTATTAAATAGAAAAACTATAGATATAAAGATAATATATAGAAACTTAATAATAACTTANACTTAACTATTAAGATAAGATTAATAAGTATATTAGAATACTTAATTATATTAATCCTAAAAATAAATTAAGCTTACTTATAACCTTAGAAGAATTTAAGGAATATATAAAATATATTAATAAAAAAGAAAGATAAATATAAGAAGAAATATAATAGAAATAAAGAGAAGCTAAGAAATAAAAAATATAACTCCTATTAATATAGGTATAACTAAGAGGACACTTTAGATTAATATAATAAGAAAATATATCTATTTAACTAAAAATACTAGAATATAATTAAGACTTCTTTAATAAAAAATTTAGAGTATTAGGATTTTAATTAAGGATTAAATCTAAGTTTAGTACTTTAAAACTATTTATAAACTAAACTTCTAATATAGAAAACTCTATAGAAAGAACCTTAGATATTTTACTTTCCTCTATAACTACTAATATCTCTTTATAACCCTTCTTAAAAACTATTCTCTTTACTTTATAAATATAATCTAACTTTATAAATACCTTATTTACTTTAGTTTATACTTTTTATAATACCTCTATTCTCTTTTAAAATAACTCCTTAGTTTCCTCCTCTTTATTATCTAAATAATAAAACTCTACTATTAATTACTCTACTATAACTAATTAACTAAGAAAAATAAAATTAAAATAAATACTACTTTATACTAATAGATAGTATTATTAGAAGTATTATAGGAATAATAGGTATTACTAATAGTAATATACTCCTTATAAACTAGTAACTTTAGTAGTATTTTATAATAAAGCCCTTTTAAATAATAGTAATAATAAGGTATAACTTTAAAACTATTTTTAGTAATATTAAGAGAATAATAATAGTAATAAAGTATAGAAATTATAGGATTTTTAATAATATAACCTAATATAATATTAATATTATAAGTAATAATAGGAAGTATAATTAATAGATCTCTAACTTAAAACTAATAACTTATTTATATTAAGCTTTAAGGATAAGACTTTTAGAGAGGGGACCTAATATTATAACTTATTATATATAAATAATAGTTAACTAACTTACTTAGGTAATAGGTAACTAGGATAGGATATTTATACTATAAAATTATAAGAATAATAGGAACTTACTTAGAAAATAGAAGAACTATAATATAAGTTATATAATAATAAAATAAAACTAAGTAAATAGTATAAATTACTAAGTACTTAGTAAGGACTACTAAGTACTTATTAGTAATTACTAAGTACTTATTAGTACTTAGTTAAGAATTAGTAAATTAAATAAAAGAACTATTTAAGACTTATATATAGTATAACCTTAAATTTAGTTTATAGTTAGACTTCTATAGCTTTTTAGTAATTAACTTAGTATTTATCCTTATAGATACTTTTAGCTTACTTTTACTATAAATTACTTATTAAACTTAAGACTAATTACTTTAGTCTCTAAAAGATCTAATCTACTATAGCTTATAACTTATAACTTAGACTATAACCTTAGTGTACTATTATAGCGTATTAATCCCTAGTTTCTGTTAGTAGACCTTACTATTAGATAGCTAACTGTAATAGAGATATAGGAATATTATATTATTATTCTTAGTTATAAAGATATAACTAAGTTATTATTAAATATATAGTAAATTAGTTTTTTTTAGATATTTAATATTATTAGTAATAAAGGTTATATTAATTAAGTAGGAGGTATATATAAGATTTATTTTAGAGTACTTTAAATTTAAACTATAGTATAATAAGGGGTTACTTCTAGCTAACTTAGTTAGAGGGCTTAAAAATCCCCTTTATATACCTTATAGGTTAGCTATAGAGGTTATACTATAACCCTCTATATATTTCCCTATTAGAGTTATATAGTAGTTAATAAGGTACGCCTCTAGGCGGCAAACTGCGAAGAAGAAAAGTTAGAAGGGAAGAAAGAATATAAATTACTTGGCCTTGTCCGTTGATACTTATGCTCTTGATATCAGATCTCGGAAGCTCATGCCGATTACCCATTAGGGTGAAGCCTTCCAAGGTCTTGTTCACCTCGGACTCATCCAAGAAACCCCGTGACTCGAGATCTACTCCGACGACACTTAGGTCACTGGTAACCAGGATCTTGCGACCATTAGGAATAGCGACAAGATCATAAGGACCGTTCCACCATTTAGTTCCCGATCCCCACTCCACTGTCAATCGACCGGTGGGACGAATGATCAACTCGTCTTTTTCTGAATCGGAAGCCTGTAGTACAGTACTCCGGTCCGACTTCGGTGCGAAAGAGAAACCACGTAAAACTCCCTGGCTACGTTCATCGCCCTCTGGAGACTTGTCGTTCCCAACAGCCCATAGCCTGCAATCCTTTTCATCCCATAGGAGCCCATGTACCGCCGGGAAACCTCGAATGGTTTGCACGGGGGTTGGATCGGGCCTGTCGACACGAGGAGCTGAGGTGCGAAGGTCGTAGATCTCGATGCCGTCTGATTGAACTTTTCCAGTCGTTGCGGCAGCGAGAAAATCGTTCGGCAGCAACTCCAGTGTATGGGTATTCTTTACACAAATGGCGAAGCGAATTGGATGAGTGTTGTGGTTGGAAGCGGATGGCACATCAAAGATCATGGCCGCACTGCCAACGATTGCCACAACCTTGCTGCCATTCGCCACCCGCTTGACCTCGGTAATAGAATCCGAATTTTCAATGCAGGCTTTTATTTTTGGGGCGATACCTTCCTGCTTGATGTTGTCGAGGTCCCATTTCCACACGACATGGCGTGAGGCGTTTTGTACGATGACCCTCTTAGGATAACACTTGTACAAACACCAAGATCCGAGCCGCATCCAGCATCTTCCCCGGGCGCCAATAAGCATCAAGTGGTCGTCATTGGTCTTGGCAGTCATGAGGCGCTGTTGTTGTGGTTGCTTGTGTGACTGTTGCAAGTGCAAAGAGTGTGAGAAGTGGCAAACATAGAGTAGGAGAATAAATCGAAAAAGCAGGAAACAAGAGTAGCGTGCCATTTTCCAACTGACCACTCCGCCTTCAGTTGTTGATGGTTAAGATGAAGAACAGTGGCTAGAAGGATGATATTATGGAGCAACCACGAATGTTGGGGATTTAAACAATGGTGAATCGAAGGCCGCACCCCCTTATATATATGTAGCCCTTGGACAAGTCTCGAGTCGCTGATGATCTCATGCAGGGTACTTCCAGATCGCCATGAGCTTTCCTGCCTTGGATAAGAGAATTGCTTATCACATTCAGATTCGGCTGGGGCCGCGGGCGAGCTGGGCTTGTCTTACTTGACGCCTATTATGGTATAATCATAAGTAGTACAGACGCCTATCATGTAGATCGTCACCTATTCTCACGTATCAAATTGGACCGTGCTAATATGTGCTCTGACCCTGTGAAATCGATTAGGTAGCTAGAGTTGGACACCAGGAAAGTGCGACATATTCACAGGCTATCAAAAGTGTAAATGATTAGGTAGGTACTAGACCGTGAATCTGGCCTATTATTGACAAATGAATGTGGTGGTAAACGTAATATGAGGCAACCGTGTGCTTGTGACCGGGACCGGCGAAGCGTGTACAGACCAGCGCTGTTCTGCTATTCCTTGGGTGGCGCCTTGTTAACTGGCATAAGAGTCGTAGACGGGTTGTAGTTCGGGTAAGCCAAAAGCTGGCGTCCCGTACTCTTCCCTTTCTTCCCAACCGTATAGGCATACCAGTCTGTCCAACCCTTGCTGCTCAGAGCAAGATGAATGTCTCCCAATTCCTTCTTGTCATTAAATACAGGAAGAGTCTGGACATAAAGCCCTGAGGAATACCCAGTGCCGCTCATGCGGATGTTTGAGAATTGAAGACCGTCGACCCGGCTGAGTGCCCGCGAGGGGATCCAGATGTCGTTCCAACCGGGGCCACCAGACCAGCCCATTGAGTCGCTTTGTCCTCGGTCGTCGAGCCAGATGTTGACGTTGTGGGTGTAAACCTCTTCAACACGGAGCATAAGTCCAATTGCAACTTCGACGAGCGGTTCATCGCCAACCTTTCCCTCCTGAGTGTACTTGTCGACATTCTTGACCTCGCGCTCGAATTCGACACCTGTCTCTGTTGTTGCCTTGGCTTCCGCCTTCATTCCCATGAAGTTTCCACCGCCTGAGATCTCCAGAGAGAACCCTGCCTTTGCATAAAGTTTCGTGGTAGTAGTCTCTACCCGCTCCTTTTCGATTTTCGTGACGATGCTATTCTTGGGAAAGTCTCGAATCCGTGCAACGGACGGAACCCATTCGATCGGTTTATACGCCACAATGTCACCAGTGATTCTCCACCAGCCCTTGTTTGAACCATCATTATAATAACCCTCCCAAGTAGTGTCAAGACGGGGGCTGATATAGTATGCTGGGAGATCAGGCAAATTGTCGTTGCTGATGCCGAACCACTCCTTGAGCTGCTCGTGGTCCATGCGCAGGTCACCATAACATTCGTTGGAAAGGGGAACCCGAATGACCTTGACATCGCCATCATTGTAGTAATAAGCGCCGTTGTTGTCTTTGGCGGGACTGTCGAATTGGAAACCCATTGTGGTGGTACTGAGGAGAATGAATAAGGTGGTTCAGTAATTGATTCAATGATTCTGGTTGAGAAATTTTGTGATCATTGCTTGGGTTGATCTCACCTTTTATCAGTGTTGACAATGGAGAACTCGATACCTAGCCCAGCAGAGGCTTAATCCGGATAATCCGCATTACTAGAGAAAGCAGCGGTGGAGTCCCCCTCGTGTATCGTCATTCTCTCCTGTACAGCACACAATATCAGCTCTTGCGGTTCTTGGTGGTTCGAAATGGCGTCGATCGTCGATGATCTACCACAGAAGCGAGCTGAAAGCTTTCAGCTGGGAACAGGACGACCACCCCGAAGATGATTATTGGTTCCCTGACGTAAAAGTAAGTTAGAAATTAAGACACCGAATCACTCCGCCCCGTCTCGGTACGTTTGCACTCTAATCAGATTGGATATTTTGCGAAGATGCTCCCCATCGACTTGCGTTGAACTTTCGGCTGCTCAAGCTACTTAACACACTTGTCAAGATTGAGTTTGGTCTTGACATGGTAAGACAGACTCACGTCATAGATAATATCGCGTCTCCAGTGCAATTGAAGTACTACCTAAATAGCTTGTGTGTACTACAACCTCTTTCTCATCATATCCATCTCACTGTTTGAGGCATCTTCCGCTAGCCCTAACATCACAAAGCATCTCCGGGTACAACCTGGAAGACACATGTCTCAAAACGGAATGGATTGGTGTTGACTTTTGTGCACAGGGCGATGTGGCAGGCTTGGTTGTAGTAATATCACATATCATGTCGTCCGCTAACGCGCCTGATCACAAGAACCAAGCTGCCATACGAACAGCTTACCGCTCAGTGCGGGGCAATCTAAGACCACCGGAGCGGCCCGTTACCATCACTAGTGGCTGAATGGTGAAATCAGAGTCTAACGATAAGGGCGTCATGACGACCAGACTTTGACATTGCAATTATGGTATACCGCCCCTGGACCGCCGCTGTCCAGATCAACAAAAATCCCTAAGTGTGACACCCCTAATACGATTAATTATCGAGAAGTTCAAGATGATAGATACACATAACATTGTTATGATGATTATGACAGTAATCAGCGATTACTTGACATATTGTATATAGACTGTGATAAGTTCACTCGATATGGGAAACGACGGGGCTTGCTAACTTTACGTCATAGAGCCAGCGTTGTCCTTACATCCGATGTCAATGGGATCTACACCAGGGCGCCGAGGTGGCACGGGATCTTGAGACCCGAGACATGAATCTTTTAGATCCCGCCAGGTACGGCTAGTAGGGGCCTGTCGTCAGTACCAAAAATGACCACAGTACAGCCACCAGCAGGGAGCTAGCATATATCGAGGGTTTCTAGATGCGGTCTTCGGAGGCCCTCCTCCGTTATTAAACCAGAAGCCAGCGTCCACGCCACTGAGATACAGTACTTGAACTGCCAGTACCTTCGCGGGAGACGTTGGGGTAGCTATGGGGCCGCTAAACGGTCCATGTCTCAGGCCTCAATGAGACGGGTTGAAAGTTTCGAATTTCCAGTTTCCCACACTTGACTCTGGGCAGCCGGTCCCGTCACAATTGAATGGTGTCAAGCAGCACACGCTTTGCAATTGAGTTTGCCGCCTTTCTCAATCCTACTTGTATGTCTCAGCCCTCAATCAAAGACACGGGCGCGCTCCCGACAACATGAACTAATAGCTTGCGTCCAATCAACATGAGTGCTTCTAGCCCAGTCAACCCAGGATCTCGCGATGAGGCCCAGCAACATCGTCCGATTGGAGCCCATACCCCGTCAGCAATTACTAGTGTGGGATTCAAGAGGTTAGCTGCTTATGCCGTCATTCCCCTCACGATTGACGGAGCAGGAATTGCATCTTGAGAGGGGCTGTGTGGCCGGCTGGAGAGCGACTATTAGGAAGCAAGCCAGTGCAATCTGGTTCAAAGGTAGCCAGGAGGACCTTATCTACCATTTGTCTTGATGCAGCATTAATCATGAGGAATACTCGATGTAAGATGCCTTATTGATGCCGCACCACATTGTGGGGACAAATAGGTTTGGTCTTTTGTTTGTACGAACTAGTTAAGAACCATACTAATCCAGCCAGATTGAATTGGGCTATCCTGAAGTTCTGCGTATCACTATGATTGACTATCTGTTGTTCCCAAAGTAACTTGCCATGTTAGGTGTTAAGCATCCCCCGACGCCTGAGCTTGCGCAACCTCCTTTGCTCCTCATGGCTCGATGATCGTAAAGTCACATGATGAATCGCCTGTTCACTGGCCCGAAAAAGGTCCATCTTATGAAATATTAGATTTCATCTTTGGTTTTGGGAGAGAAAAGTAGGATGTTTACACACTATTAGCACCACATCGCAGTGCCCTCTGATCATCAAAGAGTCGTTTCTGACGATTGGTATCATATAAGAGGAAACCCGCTCACTGCACAGCTGCTATCAGAAGCGCATGGGTAGCTTTCAATCGAGTGAATGATTGACATATTGAATAGCAAGACATGTAGCAAAACGCCTCATCCGCCCACCTAGAGATAGAACGTGCAATTACTTTGGTCATCCCTAATTTGTACATTGGTCCTGTCTCTTCTTCGCTGCCTCTTTGCCCTTTGATTTTCGGTTTTGCTCAAAGCAAACGGAGCATGCTCATCATTTCTCTCTTCAACAGTTGAAGGTTTTTGGAAATTCCAGCCGTAGCCGCTTTGAGGATTCGAGGATGGATGTAAATGCAGAAGTCGTCAAGTGCGAAAATGATAGGTCTTCCTGGTTCGAACGATGAACCAGTACATGTAATCTTTCTGCTGCCAATGATTTACATGCCCAGACCTAGACAACCGTAAGCGTGTCGCCTCGTTTCGATGAAAGTGCAAAAAGGGCGCCAATCCGTCTCCGTATTGGCCAGTCATTCGGGCTTATCGAACGCTGCAAGCTGACGCTCTATGCTCCCAGTGCCAAACCCGAACCAGCACCAATAAGAGCATCTGGCCTGTCTGGGGCCAGTTCTCAGATCTGACTGCATTGCGCTATTTGAAGACCAAGCCATTTGGGGCCAGTTTACCATGCCCTTGAAACTGGCGTAGGTGCGATGCCCCCGATGTCCATAAATAGCTGACATCCCGCACGCACACTTGTCCTCGGCTGAAGCCAATCCCAATTGTTTGAAGACGGCAAAAATCGACGTTCTTTGCTTGTAGCAAAGCTTTCTCTTGGATACGCTGCAGGATCTCAGCGCCCTGCATATCACTCCCGTAACAAACGTCAAAGGGCGGGGATCTCGGCACCCCGCGCTTGTCACATTCCGCCCAGTCGAGAACCTGAATTGCAAACCTCTGCCTCTCCTACACACTTCTACGAAAGCCCCGATCTTTATTTTAACTTTGATTTTAATTTTAATCATTCACTATGTCCAATCATACCTGTAAAGCTTCCCGAGAATGCGCTATTTCAAGCCACATTCTCGGTCGAAAATGTGGGAAGTTCCTTCGATGACCTGTCAGGAAAGGAACAATTGACAAGTGATGACATCGTGTCCTCATCGAATGCAAGCACGCAGCGGAACAACGAGTCAGAATTGTGGTCATTTCTGGCAGAGGATTGGTCCTTTTCGACGGGATATTTGGATACTTTGAGAAATAATGTAGAGATGTCGACTTTTCCTACAGCACCCACATCGCCATCGTTTCACTACCCTCAAGCCACGCCCGCGGCCGCAGAATGCTTTGATAGGCGGAGGCAGAAAATGAGCGTGGCCACTACAGATGCGCCGTCTTACGACAGCTCAGGTCAGCTCGAGCCCCTGATATCGTCGAGTCCTTCGCCGGCACCCATCAGACCACAAGATATTTCAAGTACACCACGCCCAGCTCTGCTTCCCCAAGTCAACCACAAGCAGAGGTATTCATGCAAAATGGGCTGTACTCGGTCTTTCGCAAGCCCAAAAGATCTCCGGCGTCACTACCATTCGAAGGCTCATGCCGAAGAAGCAACCAAGTCATACGAGTGTCGATGCGGGTACTCAACCCCTCGCAAGGATCATTATCGGAGACACCTGAGCAACATCTCTCGGGGAAAGACTTGCACGTACCATAGGCCCAGGTTCCGGTGTATTTGTGAGAAAGAGGGTGCGGAAAGCAACCATCTAAATCAGATCCAACATGTCAATGTATGCCAGGCAGGACGAGGCGTTGCGGGTAGGCCAAAGAAGACTAACGGGTAGGGTTTAATTGGTTTCAAGTTGATCTAGTAATATCTTTCCGTAGTTCTCTCGCAGACTTTCATATACATTTGATAAATTGCAACATCATTTCCCCTCGTCCGGATCATACTTAGCTTACAAGGGAGACAACTTGTGTACTGTGTCTTCAGCTCACTCGTATGGAAGGTATGAAGTCTTCGTTGCTTTACTTTCTTGCTGATGTTGAAATTCGTGATTTCGCCCCCGTTCTAGGTTTGAGAATCAGCAACACCTAATGTAGTCGCAAAAGCATTGCAGGGTTCATGGTACGATGGTAGCCCTTGTCCGGTGTCAATCAATGTAGCCGACGGGCGCCAATCGGCATGATCAGACACAAAGACGAGGAAATTGAATGCGCATGCGGGGTAACATGTAATTAGTTCCGTCTGAATGAAGCTTCTGATCGGCAAAGCTGGCCCACAAACCTTCATCTACAGGACGAACTGGCGCCCAGAACGGACCAGAAGCTTCACTGTGCTTGCTCATTGTGTCCCCAGAATTGACTCTGGCTTAACTTACCAGGTGAATACATCTCTTGAGTTACCCAGAACTCCAACATGAATCCTCCTTGTTGCTGAATGGTTTCTCAAAGCCTCTTAGAATGATGCGTAGAGGATTGCACGTCAATATAATTTAGCGAGCTAATTTGCCCCTAACCGCGGAAATCGAACATCGAGACTGTGATTTTCCCGGCGGGCATGAGAGTAGATCACCCGGCGGCCCAAATATCGTGGCCGCGCAAT